ATTATGCATATATATATGCATACTTGAGGAGAATAAACTGTATAATCATTATTATTATTTATAGTCGTTAGGTGACAATTTGTTCATCCACGAAATTTCGTCTCATTTTTTTTACAGCTCGCCAGAAGTAACAGCAACAAATTGGTTTTGAGAAAAGTTCAGCCAGAAGTTACGGGTCGATATAAATGCGAAGTTTCATCGGATGCTCCAAATTTCTATACTGTTATTGACTCTGGATATATGTATGTCGTAGGTAAGTTTCTGTGAACATATGATAAATATAAAGAATTTTTCGAAAACAATAATGATACTTATATTTACCTCGTTTATACCAGTATTTATTGCGTAAAAAAGTTAGTAATATATTGTTTTGTATTGGCACTTTCGCCGGTAAAGATTCCATTTCACATTTGTCGATTTCAAAACTTTCGAAAATATCTATATATTGCTTGTCATGTACCGGTATCGAAAAATTTCAAGCACTCTTCACTTAGTATGTGGCTGTAAAAAACACTAGCTTCTGTGGTCTATGAGAATGAATATGTGAAATATGATCCTTGTAGCGAGCTATTTTATTCCACTCAGTTTGACCAACATACCTTCTATCGCAATTCCCATAGCTTATTTCGCGATTCCCAGAAATTTTTGTCGTCTTATCTCTTTCGTTGTCTAACACTCGTCGAAATTGTCGGGCAGTTTGGGAAACCACTTTCAGGATGATTTTTTCGAAAATTTGGACTGATCCGTTGGTGCATGGAGGACCTATAGATTTTGAGTCCTCGTCGTTACTTTCAGCTATTTCCATGATGATTTTTTCCATGATATTCTATATATCTTTGCTCAACGAATGTGACCAACTTGTGGAGACGACAGTGGAGTTCCACACAAGTTCGCCACACGATGGCGAAAGTCGTCAAGGATTCATCTGAAAGTGCCAGCATTTCCAAAATTCTTATATTAGAATCAATGAAATGAAGGACACAAAAGAATTTGTTGTTCTGTATCTATAGAGTAGGGAGGGTGTCCAAGGTGAACAGGCATCTGGAAGACATCTCTTTTATATCGTAGGCGTAGGTGTATGCCAAGACTCGGCGAACACACACTCTCTTATTGATGATAACTCCGGACATTCCCATAGGACATGCCGGACAGTTTTATCTTCCCATTCACACATCCTGCATTGAGGTGTGTCCACTAGCCCCATATCGTGGAAGTGTTTCCTTAGTTGACAGTGGCCAGTCAGAAATTCTACTGTTAAGCGCAGATTTTTCCTGGTCATTGCCAGATATGTCTTCGACGCCAGTTTTCAGGGTCACCCAGGTTGATCCTGGCAAGATTTCATCCTATCTCTTTAGGGATTGAACATGGGTGTGACGTTTGGCTAGTTCCATAATTGTCGAAGTCATCAGGCCGTAGGTGCCACTGGGTCCTAAAATTCTCAGTCCAGCCGGTTCCTTGGCTAAAGAGTCGGCAAAACGATTACATTTACGCCGTCACCCACCAAGGCTTTGGCTAAATCTTGGTGGCACTCTAGTACTAGCCTTGAGATAACACGCTGTCTGTTCAAGGCTGATAAGGCTTGTCTGCTATCAGTGCAGATTGTTATGTTTTTGCCAGAAACCCCTTTCCTGGCCAGGTCAGGTCAGCCAGTTCTCTTTGGACCACGCTGGTATTTTTTCCCATTCTCCACTTAATCCTTAGGCATAGTGATCTGGAGTACATTCCAAATCCTGCGCCTTCTTTGGGTTTTGAGCCGTCTGTATATATACGTATTGCATTTGTAGCATATGACTCAGTGTTCTGTTTTATTTGTATTTTGTAGGGTTTATTGAACACAAACCTGGGTTCTGTTGTTCTTGAGCTTTCGAAATATACTATTTGCATTAATTCAATCTACGTTTCATACTTCTACTTCTCTCTTGATAACTATAGCCTAACGATGAATTGAAGCATTTTATTTCGAATAAAAGTTGTCTGACTGAGTTTCTTTGAATTTTTTTCTGCANATATACTAGTCGTTTTGCTATCAATGATATCCAAAATCATGAAGAAAGCCGTAAACCATACTCTTAAATATTTGGACGTCTTCACCATCTTGAGCTATCATCAATATGGCTTCCGGAAACAAAACTCAACTGGCGACCTTCTATCGTATGAGGAAATGTTGGAATTCCAACATTTTGAGGTCATGTGTTTTAAAATTATATTACAGAAGATCACTGAATTCATATACTGCGTTTATCGACCACCTAGTGATACACTATTCTCTTTACTTGAAAACACCATTGACTTTCTGCAAATCAATCATCCTAGAACCAAAATTTCTATATTCGGTGACTTCATTCTCCACAATATCGAATAACTCAAAATTTCAAATATCAACGAAGAACAAGGTCGCGAAGCTGAGGCTTTTACAATAAGCAGCGGACTTACTCAGATGAGTTAATCAGGATTCCTGACCGTGATGGAGAATATGCTAGTGTTCTGAATTTATACCTAACAAGCAACCCAGAAATTCACACAGTTACCGTAAAGTCTCCATTGGAAACTTCTGACCACAAACTCATTTCTGTGTTGAGTGAATTACCTATCATTGATTAAAAAATCATGTGGAAAACTGTATACCACCTTACCCTCGAATATATGGAAGGTTTTACATCTTGAGCGATCTTCAAAATGGGTGTCGGTATCAAAGATCAACAGACGACCTTCTGTAGTATGTCATCCATATTTGGGTAAACTTAGATGCTATGGCTTGTCGGACAATTTTTCTTTATGGCTCTTCAGCTTCCTGAAAGGACGTTTCCTGCAAGATTATTATTATTTTCATCAGTGAATTTAGTGGAGCCTCTGGAGACACCTTACATTTTGTTTTATGAGAGAGAGGATATTGGCAGATCAAGATCTTTAGATGATGTGATGCTGCAAAGTCACCCCGGAGCGCCAATTATAGACAATTTTACACTCTATATATTGATGCTGTTTTTTCGGAATATTCATTTTATGCCTTTTTCAGCTTATTACTTATGCTGTCGTAATTTTCGGTCAATTTTTCCCTACGAACCATGGTTACTGCATGGTAGTCAGCGGCTGGTTGATTCACTATAACTATTTGCAACCGTTCGGAACTCAAACGAATTGAGCGTCGAAGTTTTGCCTCATCCACTACACTCTCCAGACCTCTAACCAATCGACTACCATCTTTTCAATCACTTCTTTAACTTTCCTACCGGTAGAACCTTCGCCAATCAGGCCCAGGCAAAAATGGTCTTAGCCTACTTCATCAAATCGCGAGCCTCCACTTGAATACGTATTTACTGGAATATTACTGTTAAAATTGACTCATGCACAACTATTGAAACATCCTGATTTTTCATTCATTTGAATATCAATTTGTTTTTATCATGTGTAACTTTTCATTTACTTTCAATAAGTTACTGCAGTGACTGACTTCCTATAATTATACCAATGCAAGTATATAAAATAGACAAAAACATTATTCTAGTCTATTTTTTGGAAATGTTTCTCTAGGATCTTCCATTCCTTTTGAAAAATTGTTCAATTTGTGGCAAATTAATCGTTCCGATCGTTCTGAACATTAACGAAATAATTATTACATGACTCTTGAGGTTGTTTCCCCAAATATCTTCTACGTTTGTAGCAAAAAACAAAGTAAGTTCGAGTCGTTCGTTTCGCAACTCTGTCCAACCGAGATAATGAAATCCAGGAACAAGAAAATGAACACGAAGTATACTAAGTACACTTGGGAAATAAAAAAAGCGGTTGTGCTCGGCGAAAAGCGAAGTCGATGGAATAGATTATGCATTTAGAGTTCTTATGTGAATGAAGCGGGGTTTTGGTGCTATTATTTTACCACCGCACCATAGGCGTGCCATCGTCTTTTTAATAGAGTCGCTGTAATTGTTGTCGTCCTTTCAATGAAAAAAAATCTTATTTGTGAGTGAGATATAGAAGACGATATGTGTGATGAACAACAAAACATCCAATCATAACCTGGTTTTTTAATTCTATATCTTCATACAGAAGGATGTGGAAAACTACAGAAGAAAGGAAGAGAAGAAGCTAGGTTCAATTGATGTTTCATATTACCCTACTTTCAACTCATTTTTTCTGGTTATTTGTCAATTTTCACAGTTCTTCTCCTTTTTTATAACAGTTCTCAGTTTCCCAAAAACTAGGTCATTGTTAATATGAGGAACTACAGATTCTGTCATGGAATACTTCGATGAAAATACTTTTCTCAAAGACCAGTGGAATATTTTCCTTGTTTCACTTTTCACAAACTATACTTGTTCCTGAAACTAACCTCAGTGTATTTATTTTCGATAAAGCAATGAAATAATCTCGCACACATCAACAAGAACTTTGTATTGTTGGTAGTATTTGTGATTTCACATAGCAGGATGAAAGAACTCATAACAGAGCGGAATTTTCCTTTTTTCATAGCAAGATAATTTAAAAAGCGTATCTGCCTGAAATCAGACCAATAGACAGATACAGATTAACACTCGACTCACATTTATTGAAAATGTATTTGATCAATGAAACCATTGATCAACTTTCAAAAGTAGCTCGAATTCCGGGAACAACTTAGTTACTACAGGAAAAACTTACAGATGACAGATGTAACATCTGTAACATTCTGGGAAAGGCACCATCCACTATTCCCACACTAGAATCCACAATGCCGGAAATAACTTTTCGACAGTCTGGTCAGGCGAATCAGCTCAATATCAACAAGGCGTCTGGCCCTGATGAAGTGCCCGTCATCGTACTTAAAAAGTGCGCAAATGAACTCAAGCCAGTATTTTGCAGATTTTTCAACCTGTCTTACAAGAAATGATTTTTCCTTCTTGTTGGAAGATTGCTCGCGTTCAGCCTATTCCTAAGAGGGCCAAGACACATTTTCAAAATAACTATAGACCAGAAATCATGGATAAAGTCCTAAACCACCATATCCTCAAATATTTGGAAGGCTTCATCATCATGAGCGATCATCAATATGGTTTTCGGAAACAAAGATCAACAGGCAACCTCCTATCGTATGTTATCCATGTTTGGAATAACGCATTCGAGAAACATGGACAATCTAGAGCGCAACAGGCTCGATATTTTAAGGCCTTTGACCATGTGTGGCATGAGGGTTTGCTGGACAAACTTTGGTGCTATGGCTTGTTGGATTATTTTTGTGTATGGCTCTCCAGTTTCCTGAAAGATGGTTCCCCGCAACTG